AACTTTTAAAAACACAGGAAAAAACTCAATCAGCAGAAACAAAATCTGACCATTCCCACATCCATCTCAGTCCAGGGAATCCTAAAGAAAACCTGTGGAGAGCTGTGGAGAAGTGATCTTGTGTTTGCTACTCTGGACCAACAGTCCTGCATGTTTGAAAGTTTTCCATCTCCTACACACCTGACTTAATTAAATCTGTCATTAACAGGCCCCGGAAGCCCTCGAAGGCAGCAATTATATTTGTTTTCATCTACCGTAAAGCAGATAACCGCATCTCAGCAAATCTGTGTAAATTAACTGGAAGGAGTTCTGACCTTTGAGAGGCAAATTCAATCATCAGTCAGCAAAGACGTCCTCTGAAACCACAATATGTCTGTAACCAGATTAAATCTCAAAGTGTGGGTTTGCTGCTTAGACCTTTGTTACAGTTTCTGTCACATGTGCCGTCGTTTTCTTTACACCTGAGAAACTCATCCGAAAATGTTTCAGGGTGAGGGATCTGAAGCCACCTTCTCTGGTGAGGAAGGGTGAGATCCAATCACTTTTATTTTTACAGACTAATGTGGCGGATTGCCCCTCATAACCTTCACTGCAATACTTTATGTCCGCTTCCATACCATAGGACGTTGAAACAAACATAGTCTAGAGGTCAGTGCCTATTTTAGATTTTACTCTGTTTTCAAAAGGCTTTAATACTTTTTTTCCCCTTATCTTTCCAAGCCAGTTCTTTGCTTTTATTACTAAGGCACTTACGCTCAGCTCCCTCCTACGTAATAACAGCAAATCCCCCAACCTACTTCTTTACAACATTTGATGCGGTTAGGGTAACTTAGAGTGCAGAGGGAAAAAATCTCTACATTGCTGCTTCATAAATCTGTCACACTCTCCTCATCCTGCGTTTGTCCCCTGTCCCCCATACAGACATCTGTATGCTCTGGCAGTCAATTACAGCCTCTCACCTTCACAAAGAGCCTTGCTCCATCACTCCATGGGAGGCGGCAAAAACCACACCTTCTTTTTATTTTTTATCTGAAATGTATCCTCTGTCACCAGCATGAAGGATGAAGCTAATAACTCTGAACTCTGCTTAGGTAAGGAAAGGACAACTCTGAATTACTCTTTAGTAATAAGCTCTTTGATTTAGGCATTAACTATGAGCTGTTTATACTAAGAACATCAAAATGCTGTTTTTTTTGTTTAAATAAATTATTTCAATGTATTCTTTTATGTTTTCTAGTAATTTGATTATTGAATAAAACATCTTATCTTCTAGTAGTCCAGCCATCACAAGGACTTAGTTGCTGTCAGTATCCCATCAACATCCTCTTGACCCTGTCATTCAGCTCTAACTGATTGACAAACATGCATCACCTGGCTGCCTGCCCTCAACCTGTCATGCATACAACCAGAGGTGGATCTATAAGGGCATTGGTCCTTGTTGAACCTATATAGGCTACTGTGACTTCCCTCAGAATACTGCAAAACTTCTTTAGAAATCTTTAGAGCATCAGCAGTTACCTTGATACCATGAATAGTGTTGGCAGTGAAAAAGGATGCAGGAAAAATCAGCTGGATATTTCTATTGAGAGCTTGTTTTGCATAGGCAACTCCAGGCTGGACAGGACATAAATGCCCAGCCTACCTCATGGAAATTAAATAAATACATCATTGCTTCATGTGTACTCTTTGTAACATACAAATGTACACACTTTGATACACTATAGTCCCAAAAGTACTTGCTCACCCAACAAATTTACTGGAATCAGGTGTTCCAATCACTTTCATGGCCACAGGTGTATCAAGCACCTGCAGACAGTTGTTACATACATTTATGGAAGAATGGCTTACAGAAGATCAGTGAATTCCAGCGTGGAACTTTGAAAGGATGCCACATGTGCAACAAATCCAGTCGTGAAGTGTACTGACAGCATCATCAGAAAAAAATTGAAGTGTTTCGGAACAACAGGATCTAAGCCACACCTGGCCTTGAGATTAGCTACATAACAGTAAACAGAGCTAATCTGTCAAACAGCTGCATCCAAGCAATACATTACCAAGTGCAATGCAAAGCATCAGATGCAGTGGTAAACACTTCTACTGGACTCCTGAACAGTAGTGACATGTTTTCTCTGACACTTCTCCATCTGGAAATCTGATGGTAAAGTCTGGGTTTAGTGGTTGCCAAGAAAACGGTGCCTTTCTGGTTGCATTGGGTAAAGGCTGGTGGAGGGGGTATTATGCTATGGGACTGTTTTTCAGGAGTTGGGCTTGGTTCCTTTATTCCAGTAAAAGGAACTCTGAATGCTTCAGCGACCAAGACATGGGCTTTGTCCAAACATCGGTCCTAATCACTAAATCACTCAATAGCACAGGGACTCCTAATCCCTTAATTACAGTTCACAAACCGCTCAGAAGAATGTGCCACTACTTTTCGCTCCCCATTGGTCACATGACTCTGCCTCCCGGCACGGTGCCTGCGCCATCTTTCCTATTTCAATTCAATTTCAATTCAGTTTATTTATATAGCGCCAACTCAAAACACGTCATCTCAAGGCCTTTACAGTTCACCAGATCATACAGTCTAATTGATTAAAAGTGTTCTATCTAAGGAAAACCAGTTGATTGTATCGACTAAAGCTACAACAAATACCATGATGCTGTCCGAGGAGAGCTCTCGCAAAGCAATCAGGGATACATTACACTCATCTAGTGACCATAAAATATCACTTTTTTTCAAGGTGCATTGTGGAAAATTTCAAGTCCACTTCACCCACTACACAGTCCCCTATATAGTGCTTAGGGCGGACATTTGGCCACAGCCAATCGCTTTCCCCTGAAACAAATCCCATAATACTTTGTGAGGAGAACTCTTGCAAATTATTTTGGAATATATATATATATATATATATATATATATATATATATATATAT